CTTGATTTTAGGTAATTATCGAATCAGTAAAACCCATAATTAATTCCTACTTAGTGTTTTTTACTATCTTTCTAAAATTTGTCATCTGTCCCGTTTCACCCCGTAGGCGATGTAAAATGGGACAGCCAGGGGGCAAACAGATCCAATGTCTTATTTTAAAATTTAAATGGATTTTACCAAACATAAACTATGTTGTTCAACCAATGTGAAGTATAAATTTTATGGGCACATTTTTTTACAATATAACACTGTATATAACCTTGATCTGGCATATTATCAGATATGTTCATCAGCAAGGTTGTATTAATTATTAATTTGATTTGTCTCTTGTGAAATTTGTTTTTTAACTTAATTTCATTTTTATTTACTATTTTTTTATTGTTTACACCTTTGCCAGTGTAAAGTTTCAGTTGGTCCTTTTTACCCCACCCATATGTAAATTTTTATAGGGGTTATATAAAAACATCTATTCTAAATATAACAATATAAAACAATATATCTTATAAAACAATTGAATAACGTTTTTATAAAATAAAAATTATATTAAAGTCTCCTATATTGTAATAAAATGATTGTATTTTTTATCAAATTTTTTGTCACATTACGCAAAGATTATAAATACTACAAATTATGTTTAATCTCATAAATAAATTTATTGTTTTTTCAAAATCTGTTTTTACTAATTAACCATTAACAGTTTCATGAAATTTAGTAAATTTAATTTATGTTATCAATAGTAATTTTATTACAAAATTTTGGATTTCACATGGATGTTTGAAAATAAAAATATATAAGTATTAATGATGAAATATTTAGATTTCTGTAAAAAGCAAAAGGTTTGGTAGTGTTTGAATCAATTAAAAATTTTATTTCGAGATTTTTATTACTAATGTATGGTGTTTCGTTTGATTTGTTGATTGGTCAGTATAAATCTTCTTTTGGTTGTTCTGCCATTTGTTGTTCATTATTAACGTTTTTTTGTGTCGAATAGTTTTCCATTAGTTTGTCTCGTGTTTGAATTATTAATTGCTGAAATTCCACTCATAGGCGTCCAATCATCATGTTGAGCATTTTGGATTGGTCGTTGTTTGTTGATTCACCTGTTGTCCCTGATTAAAATTTTATAGGGCATAAAAAATATGAAACGAGTTTTATTGAGTGAACTGAGTCAGATGGGTTCCATTAGATTCGTTATTTTTATTTTGCAAACGCCGTGAAGTATGATTAAAATTGGATTGTGTAAAAACGTGTTTTTTATTTGAAAAAATATTGATTTTTTTATGAAGAGATGTAATATTTTTCTCACCTCTTCTACGAGTTTTAATTATGTTCATTATTATTTGCAAGCATGTATATTTATATGTTTCCAAGCAACTTTATAAACTGTGTCATTAATACCTTGCCGCGTGTTTGCGCAAGTTAAGGCAAAGAGAAATATTTTCTCTGGGCTGTAAATTTTCAAATTAACAATGTAATCACATTATCAATTTCGCTAGCATCTAAAACCTAGTTAAAAATGCAGTTCAAATAATTTCATTTTTGTAAGTACGATGGCTTTGCTCGGGCATAATAACTATTTTTAATTTACTTTCTTTTTGAAAAATTACTTTTCGGATTGGTTAGGTACATTATGCGGCATGTGATTAAATTTTTGTATAATTTGTAGAGACATTGTTGATAATGAATCTATTAATTATTAATTATGAATTTTCATAAAATAATTGACACACGTGGAATGGTTTATTGAGGATGCTAAAATTTTTAAAAGATTGTTATGGTTAGTGTATTTTTGAGAAGTCCTAATTAAAATCACGAAAAAACGTTTTATATTGTGAATTCATTTATTTATTGGCAGAGTAAATGTTATTATAATTAAACAAGAATTGAAGTTACTTAAGAATTAATGAATTAGGAATGTCTCACTTACATTTTGGTGTTTTATTTTTTAATTTATATATCTCATACACAATTGCAATATGTAAATTAAATTTTTTTAAACATATTTTATAATTTCTCTAAATTAGGGTTCATACAAAAACCGTCAGAAAACCAGTTTTCAAATAATATTTGGTTTCAAATTTTCATAAAAATATATAAATAACCGGTTTCGAATTTTTATAAAAATATGTTTGCTCAAATGTTCCGTATATTGAACAAAAAGTTTGACAGAAAATTCAAGTTGAATAAAAGCAGTTTTACTGAAATTACTTACTGTTCAATTTTATTTATGGGGCTTTTATGCAGTTTAGTAGAACAGAGAAATAATAGCTGATCAGGATTAAAAAACTTTGAAAACAATTATTTATAGTTTATGCATAATTTTCACATAAAACTATGTAAATATTTTTGTAATTGTTAAACGGGTTATTCAATAAATGGTTCGAATATATTAAAATAACATATACTCATACTTTTATAATTCATACCGGTTCTGAATATCATAATTTTCTCCAAGAAACCAAATAGGTTCATAATGTATAGATTTAATATAAAATTTTATACACTTAATACAATATAATATAATAAACACAACAATACAATTTATACAATTAAAAATATTAGCAATTCATCAAATTTCAAACATTCTCCATATAATATCTATAACGTATTATAATGCTAATAGTACGTTACTTTATACAATTAGCAAATCTTCAAATTTGTAATTCTGTACTCTATACAATAGAATAAGCTAATCCTTTTTCCATATAGTTTGACGTATAAAATCCAAATACTGAATTTATACTCTACGAATTACATTTATTGAATACCCTCTGGTCAGAATGCATAGGACAGTTCTGACGGTTTCCGAGCTACTTCATGACCAGTAATGCCCCGATCCATGCGCGTGTTGGCGGAACAGAGCAATACAGCTTCTGACCCTTTGTAACGGTTTCGAAAAGCCAACAAAACTCTTTATTTCGGGAAAAGCGGTATCGTTATCGGATTTATGAAGAATTTTTATTGTAAACGTGCATGTATGATTTTGAAATATTTTTAGTCAGTCAAGTGAATAATCTAGCTAGCTAACATTTTAATCCGCAAACATGTACACATTTTGAAGATGATTATAATATTATTATTTTATTAACTATACATATAATGGTTGAATATTTGATAGCATGCTCAAAAAAGTTTCATATTCATTTTTGTGATTTGGTTCCGTGGTAAGAATGTGGACTAGCCACTGCTGATTCCGAGTATTGTTGCTTTGATAAACCTCAATTTCAATTTATTTCCAACAAAAGAAATGTAAATTGTCACGTTTTATTGATTCCAATAACGAAGTTATGCACACTCTGAAACTTTTAATCGACGTAAAAAGTGTTTTATATAATTCGACTGCGTCTTGACGCTGCGACAGAGCGGCACAACGACCCGGTACCTTTTGGCGTCCAGGTCTTCACGCATATACTGCAAATCTTACAAACTGAATAAAAGTAATGAAATAATAACTTGTAATGCATCATTTTTATAGCGCATATATAACTAAAATGTTTACTGTAGATGCGATTTTCTTTATACAGACTAAATTTCTGGGAATAGTAACCACTAACCAGCATTACTACCCTAAAAATATAGAGCGCATTTTATTTATATGATATATGATCTTCTCGTTTAAAGAAACGACAAACCTTATCGAGGAAACATACTTACAAAATGATAATCTGTTATGTTAGGATGGCCCTTAAAAATGTTAGTCTTATACCTACTTACATATTATCCATTGATATGCTAAGATACAGAGAATATATTTCAGCTCGGAATACAAGCACTTATGTTTAATTTTTTTAGTAAAAACTATTATAGAATTGACTTAGTATGAAAATGGGTTCAGTTAAATAGCAATAGTTAGATATTACATCGAGTTTATGTGCCGATTCTGCCGTAAAATAAACCAATGTTATAGTAAGACATTTGTCAAAATGCTTCGTATTTGCTGTGCAGTCATGGGTTTCACACATGAAATGTAACTTTACGCATATGTTAATATGACACATTACAAAGATGCACTTATGATGAGATTCTTGTTTTGACGTTTGTGCGTTTTCTAGATTAGGTTTTTTTTTATCTAAAACGTCTGACTGCACAGCAACCACAAAGTACAGGATGCGCCATCAATATGTGGTTAATAGAAACATTGACTAACTTTGACAAATTTCAACCAATTGCAGTAAAGGTTTTTTGTAAACCTAGCTGAAAAAAATGTAAGGCTTTAAATTTGATAGTAAAAAAAAGTTTATCAAAATGCACTGAAGATTGTTTAAGTTATTTAAAATTTTCATTGACCACATATAAATGGCGTAATTGTATTTAGACAGTTTTTCGTATCATATCAAATCATATTACGGATATTATTTTCATGTAAATTTTATCCTTTGCACTTTTATTTATTTAAATTTATGTTATTATTTATAAATATTACTAGATGTTATTAATTTAACAGTAATATTTAACAGTAATACTTATTGAAATTAAAAAAAAAAAACTTCATATAAAACACGCTACGTATGTACATACGTACAACATAGCGTTGCCATAACAGTAAGGTTTTATTGTGGTAAAAAGAAATTAGAAGGAGCACAATTATTAGCCCATCGACAAATATGTATTTATGTATTATTGATGTCATAGTTCATCAAGTATTGTTAAAACGCATTGCTAATAATTTTTACTTCATACTTTTCATTCCCAAAGTCCACTGTTACAATGAATCTTTATGAAATAAAGTAGACATTTTATTTAGTTCAAACTTTTTATTATTGCATAATGCAATATAAGCACACACCTTAATTAATCTTATTTAGTCTTATTTGCTAAGAATTTTAAAAATCAAACCTTTAGAATTTACGAATAAGTGGCTGTGTCATCAAGGCTTTCAACTTCTGCTTTTACATTTTTTTACACAAAGTTGCTAAAATGTTTTTCAAATGAACAATTCATCATTATCACTATACAATTAGATTACATAAAAATATTAATGTCATTTATTTTTTTCACAGATGTTTCGTTCGTGTTTGGAGGCGTACATGGCGGAGGCTCCCAGAATGCTCTCGCCGAGGGACTTACAGTTGCTCCGTCCTACCAGATGCAGCATGGACGCACCAACGCTAACGGTCAGCCTCTCATGGCTGAACCCTATTTTGATGCTCAGACCCCCAAGATCGTCACCGCTCTCGTTGCAAAATCGGCCTACCTCACCTGCCGCGTACGCAATTTAGGAAACCGAACGGTTAGTGAATTTTTTAATATATTCAGAAAACATGCTTATTTTACGTTAAGTTTTTACGCTAAACGCTGTAATTAAAAAAATACAACGAGCGTGTATTAGTTTTGAAATGTTGAACCCACTCCACTTTTTTTTGCACTTGTTGATTAATACTATCTGCATTCGTCTACGCTCGAAGATTTATGACCATAGTTACTTCTCAAATCTAACCTCCAAATGTCACAAACGTCAGAATATAACCTTAGTTCATTTCATAAGTGACAATTTTTGTTAACGAAAAGTTGCACTTATGATAATATATTTTTATTTGGCATTTGTTCCATTTGCAGATTATTATATTGGAGGTTTTGGAAGTAGATAGAGTGTAAAACTCTCGATCGAACACCAAGGATATAGTCTTATCTATGGATATTTTTTTCTTATCTATGGATATAGCTATTTGACAGTTCATGTCTACCGACTCATGCGATTATTTACCATTACAACGATATTTTTTAAATAGGCATTTTTAAGAAGAGATCAGCATGTGCACTACTAATTGCGAATAAATATCTCTTTTGGCAATATTTTTTATTGCTTAATAAACATTGAAACACTCCATAAACTATATCCTATAGGCTTGGTTTTTTTTATTATGCTTTATTTATAATCTAGTCTAGTAAATTTATGTTATTTACATAGAAACATCCATCGGTAAACCTTCTTTCTAAAATGTTTTTTTTAATACTTGAATATCCTACAGCATAGGATAAAAAAAATAATAATAATAAAATTGTTATAAAATATGGTGGGGAAAAATAAATCCATTATCTTTGGTTTAAAATTTTGGTTTCTCGGTTTAAAATTGTTTTATGGTTGATTTTTAGCTCTTAGGCGATGTTACGACTGCTAACATGCCGGTCAACTTAGATCATTTCTCCGATTTTATCGACATTTTCGACGAAACCTATCGGTGCGAGATGCATCTTTAACATCAGAAATTCCTGAACAGATTTTACGAAACCAAAATTGCACATAATTAGCTGTTACAGTATCGGAATCATAAACGCCATTCTCAATTTTAGCTGCTTGCATTTTTTTCGCTTTTGTCAAAGAAAAATTGTGAAATGTACCCAATTTTTTCTTCATTCACTCCTATTTTTCAACAGTAAAATAATTTTTTTGCATAAATCTAAAATTGTTTGATCGATACAGCCATCTACCGAAAAAATAATAGATTTCTTTTTTTCAAACATAACATATACTACTTAGATCGGTTTACTATTATAAACGGAAGCAAAGAAAAAATTCTTAAAAGTTTTTGTTGAGAACTTTACTTGGAAATAAATAAAAAAATGCTTCAGTACCATTTTCTTGGATAATGAACATATATACTTTTATTATCGAAAAAATTATCAGAGAGAAATTATATTATTCGACGTCATAATATGATCTTAATATCGTAGCAATTCGAGTCAGCCTTGATTTTGGATTGATTTTCATAACGATGTAGACGTTTTAAAATGATTAGATCATATCAGATTTTTAAGAGGGTTTTATATATTTGTAACGAGATCGCTTCTTATAGATATATATCCATATTGGTGACCCCGGCTAGTTTTCACTATATGATAATACAGCTTATATCTGTCTCTCTAAGGTACAATTATGATATATATATATAGATATATATATATATATATATATATATAGATATATATATATATATAGATATATATATATATAGATATATATATATATATATATATATATATATATAGATATAGATATATATATATATATCCATAAATTTACTAATAATTGATCAATTGATCGAACTGATCAGCCACTGCTTTGATCATCAGTGCTTCTGGAGGTCAGAGGATCCTAATGCAGTAACGAACATCTCGTCTTCCTAAACTATATTCCTCGTACAATTGTGGTTAATTCAACGTATGAGTGATAATTGTAACAGATGTGACCCTATTCCATACTATACTGTACTTTGCTGATTGTATCGCAATATGTACTTCCGCATTTATACGCGAATTCAGCGACTATAGTGGCTTATTAAACTGAGCTGTTTGTGCCTAAAGCCAACCGTCGTTCTGAGATAAGAGAAGATACACAGAAAAGCACTTCGATTAATTAAAACATATTTAAGTATGCTGTTCTATTGCCTTTGTTTGACTCTATTAAAAAGTTTTATTTTAATTAATAAATATCCGATTTAAGAAGTAAGGGTTTACCCGAGTACTTTGACGTTCAACTTTCCAATCCTCAAGTTTGTAAGTAATAGAAGTTTTTATCCAATGCCTGGAAAGAAATATTTATGTATATATTACTGTTTATAATAACCTCGAATACGATTTTGGCATAAAAACCTTTGCTGCAATAATAATAATTTCGTTCTAATTCCGATTAGTGTTAAAATCATGTAAATAAATAAAAAACCTATAGTAGTTTTGCAACGATTACGGATATTCCATTAAAAATCTATTACAGGGTCTGATTTCACAAAAAAATATTTTTCATAAAAACTATTTCTCTTAAAGATTTATTTAAATGTTAGTTTATGCATAGATATTGATAAGCTGAGTATAGCCTTTAACTATGCATTTTGTGAATTATTTGATAAATATGTAATAATTAACCATCAAAAACATCTAATTATGATAAATATATTATTTATCATGGAATAATTTATCGTATATAATATTTATATTTATATTCATTTTCATATTCATATTTATATTTATATATTTATTTAACAATAACTTATAGGGTGAAAGGGGCACAAAAATCTAATTTGAGTTTGAGCAATTATATTGTGAAAAACAAATTAATTATATCTCAACAAATCATACATATCAAACAAACAACTATCTGACTATGTTCAGTAAAACTCCCAGATCGTCATTGTAGACATGTGTTTTTTGCTGTTTTTCCAATATTTGTCACTTTGTTCCTTTTTAACTTCCCGTAGGGTAAGTTATTGTAATGGGCCGAAAATCGGAATTGAAAATTTTTACATTTCTCGACGTTTTGAAGGTTTCTGAACGTTTTGGCATACCTCAGGAAAAATGGATGTGTGTGTGTGTGTGTGTGTAGGTATGTATGGATACAAGTTTCCAGTCACGTTTTCGGGCGCACGGATCAACCGATTTGAATGGTTCAAAAAACATTCGATTCCTATTGATAGGGAAAAGAGCTGATTAGTTTTTGGCAAAGGCAGGTCCAGCCGTTTTGGAGATACGGAGCAAAGAGTGCAGAAAATAGAAATCGAATTTTTGAGAGAACGGAGTATCCGATTTGAATGATCTAAAAAAACATTCAATTAGTAATGATTGGGAGAAGTGTTAATTAGTTTTTGGCAAAGGCAGGCCTTACCATTTTGAAGATACGGAGCTAAATATGTAAAAAATGGCAATTTTTGAGAGAACTAAGCGTCCGATTTAAATGATTGAAAGAACTTTCTGCTTGACTATAGTTCTAATATACTTTACAAATAATTTCAATTCTGCAATTCAGTTTATATAATTCTTATAAATATTAGACAATGTTACAATATTTATAATAATCTATTTGAAAACATTCAGTATTCCACGAACATTTCGTTACGGTACGGGAAGTTCCAGCAATTTGCCTTAAGGCACGATGCCATAATTGCCTCAAGACAGAATTCCACTTACAGCTAGTTACTCCATAGGCGGGGTAAAATGGGACGGCCAAGACGCAAACAAATCTTTTCTCATTTTTAATTTTAAAGGAAATTTGCGAAATAATAGCCACATTATTCAACCAATGCAAAATATATAAACACGGATCTATATAACCTGTATAACCTTGTATGTAACCTTGATCTGGAATTTCATCAGAAATATTCAGCAGCAGAGTTAGAATAACTATTTATTTAACTTTATCTCTTGTAAAATTGCTTTTTTCAACTTAATTTACTTCTTTGTTTACTATTTTTTCTTGTTTACATCTTTGCCAGGGTAAATGTTCAGTTGGTTTATTTATCGCACCCACGTGTAAGCTTTTATAGAGGTTATATTATAATATGAATCTAACCTAAAATTAACAACACGTCTGATAAAATAGTTAAATAACGTATACTTAAAAGTTATATTAAGATCTCGTAAACTAAACGACATCGCTTACAATTTAAAAAAAATTAACAATAAAAGAAAATACTTCTGTTGTGGATTTTTAAACATTGCCTTTAATTTTCCGATAGCAACGTCGTAAGAATAAAGGTGATGGCCAGTTATACATTTTTTTCTCTACTTTACTTACATTGAAAAATTAGGTAACTTTACTCATTTTTGAGATATCGGTGGTAGACTTTTTTATCCGCGGACCTTCAAGCTCCCCTCTACCCCAATTAATTTTTTTAATCAAAAGAAATTTTTTCTATAATATATTCAATTGTGAATATTATTTTGAAAACAAAATAAAAATGAATTTTGTCTAAATGAAGTTATTAATGGAGAAAGCACGTAGGCGCGAATGTAAGCGTATACGTATTAATTTTATTATAATCTTTTTAATTGAGTTCTAAATTAAGATGTGGCTAATACGATTATATATACTTAAAATTCGTTCATGAAATTATAATTATAAGTGATCCGAGACTCATTGTCTTTTTGCTAATAATTAATTATTTTTACACCGTCTAGACTGACCGATATTTATGAGAAATGATAATTAAAAATATATATATAAGAAAATAATTAAGACGTTGTTGAACAATGGTTTAGAATATGGAATATTTTGAAATGTAAAAAAATATATTACGAATACATATTTTTACAATGTGAGTCCTGCAGACTATTTCTAAAATATTTCTATGGAATCCTGACAGTAAAACATCAGTAGAATATTCGTTCAGAGTCTGTCAGCATACTCGTTGCTGTTTTCCATTTGTTTCAACGTCTAAAAATGTAAACATTACTGCATTATTTTCTAAAAATTAGACATACAATTATTTTGAACAAATGCATTTTGCAGGTGTGACTTCG